GTCGATTAATCTATTATGCAGAAGACAGATAGCAGTGAAATTTCGGAGATTTTATTTTGCTTATATTTCCCGACTAAGTAGACCAGAAAATTTTTAAACCATTTATTTAAAATATAAAAACTAATCAACGTCAAATTGTCGTCAACTTATACTGCAGTTCACATTTTTTGGACTACGACTATGCTGGCTATAATTCGAGTTTCTTCCGACTTCTGAATAAAACCAATGTGGTACACGCAAAACTTGATTTCCATAATTCACATTACTATAAATTGCAGCCCAACTATTTAAAGCTGCTGGATGATTTTCAGGTGGCAAGACCATTTGCACGTTTACATTATTATATCTTGGAGATAGATGCCATCCTTGTCGTTGTGCATTTTGCCAGAGGCGTGCAAATTCTTGTTGGTTGATGTAAGATGGTGTTTGCATTGGCTGAGTTAATATGTGTCCGTGTATGTTGTAGTTGGTTTCAAAAAAAATGTGTTAATTAAGATAGACACGTAAGAAAGCATGCATGAATGAATACTAAGAAAAAAGAAAAATAAGCAAATATGAGTAAGAGTATGTGATCGATTGTATTGATAAATAATTGCTTCATGACGATGAGTCATTGAATCATCGATACTATTCGTAGGTTAGTCAGACTTCCACTTTCAGTCTCATGTAATTCGTGAGGACTGTCAAAGATCCTGAAATTGCCCACTTTACCTAAAGTTCGCTAGCGAATAGAAGGATTTTACTAGTCAGTCAAAAAAATACCAAATTTATGCCACACTGATAGTGAATTCAACTTTTCTAGTTCTCAGCAGGCTTTACGTGGATTTTACCATGGTCACGTGTCACTCTTCTGTGAACACAAGGACTTTTCTCTTGCCAATGGACTACGACTATTTCTCATTAAGACAGCTAATATAGATTAACATTTCTGAGTTTATCTACGATCTTCCCTGTGAAGAAAGTTAGACTTTCTTTAAATGAGATAATCTTTGTGGATACTTTACGTCTATTCAGTGCACAGCATAAAAGAAACAACAAACAAATGCTTGAATGAACTAAATAGATAAAAATAAAAACCATCTAATCATTATCAACATTCATTTCTTGTTGTCGAAAAAGTTCTCGGTAAATTTCATGTTCAATTGTCATAAATTCATCAGGTGTACCTTGTTCAATCAAATGTGTTTTGTGTATAACAAATATTTTATTACATCATTCCATTGTACTTAATCGATGTACTGATATAGGTACCGTTCGAGGTTCTTGACTATTTTTCTTATAATATAATGCATCTTGAAACTATAATAAACCGAAAGGAATATTTGAAAATTATTTAAAAAAAAAATAGCTACTAATCGGTTATTGACAGGATCTAATGCTGATGTTGTTTTATCTAAAAGAAGTACAGTAGGCTTTCGAATAATAGCTCGAGCAGTTGATACACATTGTTTTTGATCACTTATGATCACCCAAAAAGAAATTGAAAATAAAGCTAACCTAAAATAATCCAAATCTGATAAATGACTATCACGTTGTGCACATTTAGTATTATAATCACTAATAAATTCACGTGTATTAACTTGATCAGCTGGTTGAATCATTGTTGTTTCATCATTATTATCTATAACATAAATAATATTTTCTTGAATAATTCTATTAAATAAAATTGGTTTTTGTCTAACCATAGCTATTTTTTATGAAGATACTTATGATCATATTTGTGAATTGCTCGACCATAATTATGATTTTTCCACGGGTAGGATCATAAGAACGTTCAAGTAATTTAATACATGTTGATTTTCCTGACAATACAAAACTAAATGAAATACATATATCTTTGAAAATGAAAAGATTTTATTACCAGAACCTGATGGTCCAACAAAAGCAAATGTTGGACCTGATTTTATTTTAAATGACATATTCTTATAAAATCAAAAAACAAGAAAATTTTTCTTTTCACTAAAAATTAATCAATATACTTGAATAGCAATTTCATTTGATCTAGCGGGATAAATAAGTGAAACATTATCAAATTCAATATCACCTTGTAATTCATGTCGTTGTATAATATCACTTGGTTTTTGCATTGGTTTACGATCTAATTAATCAGAAACTGATTGAGTTGCACCAACTGCTGTCATAAGCGATGTATAAATTTGTGAAATATCCTAAGAAATATTTCATAATGATAATATTTTTTTATTTTCAAATTATATATATATACTTAAAATTTCACCGAGTGTTAATTGATAATTAATAAATCGGGTTCAGTTATATAATTATCGCGTACAAGTTTTGCACCATATGAAAGCATGACAATACTCATTCATAGTTGTGCTAACTAATGAAAATGGAAAAAAGAAAGAAATCTTATTTATAATAATTCAAAGATTCATTCGACTGACGAGCGAAGCTTCCTAACTAATTAATAACTTTCGAGTCCGGACTGTGAGCATCATTTAGACTGTAATTAGCTTTAAATACTCTGAGAAGAACTCGGATTCTTAGATTTTTACTGCCCAGATATTGTATTTTTATGATACTTTACATCCTTATGTCAGGATAGAATCAAATCAAAAGACCAGAAATTTTTCCAATACACTATTCTCATTAAGGTCTCTCTTTTTCAATTTTTAAATAGAAATTCGGAAGCCAGTGTTCCTGGGGTTTTGGAGGAGAACTACTGCAAATTTGAGGTATCTACGTAACAATAATCGAGGAGCCCGAACTCTTTCCAGGATATTCAAAACTCATTTGGGTCTATATGACGTACATCTTTCTGACTCAACAATGACAAATCGATTCAGGGGCTTCCCTCATGAGTATTTTGCGGAGTTACTTGTCTGTTCTACATCTTGAAGTCAGAAGTAAAATTTTGTTAAAACTATATAGCATAATAGTAATTTATAAAATGAGCCGTTGGCAGCCTAACTAGAATTCTTCGTTGTCGATTAACATAGAATAAAAAATAAAACGCGAACGGATGACTTTTACGTCTATCATAACTTTGATTTAGCTACGTGAAAAAAAACACGTTATTGAATACTGAAGATCTCTTTTTGTACACAATTAACTGTTCTATTATTTGACGTTTTTATCTTCGGTACAAATTGTCGAATAGTTGCGATTTAATTTTTCTGCAATTTCGTTTTCAGGAATCCAATAATCATGGTCTATATCCTCAAATACTTGTCTCATACTATACGTGTAATTAATTCCCCTTCCTCAAAAGTTGATCTTGTACCAGGTGCATTCAAATTGTATAAAGTGTTTAGGTCATGTTGAGACTGTAAGGAAGAGACTATGCTAAAATTTTTAGCTCTATATCATGACGTTCGAGGTTTCACTTAATTTTTTATTTACAAAAAGCATGTCAGACTACAGTGACTTTTTTCAATTCCTACTTTTTATGCGAAGAAAAAGAATGACACATTGAATAGGTCGAAAACTAGTCGTCTCTTGATAGAAGTGCTTTTGTATATAATAATGAAAAAGCTTGATTAAAAAAAAAAAGAACACTGTAGCGATCAAAAATGTACAA